CTCCGCTCGGTGTCGCTTTCACCGACACACCGCCGCTCGTCGACTCTTACGGCCAGTCGCTTGACATGTTTGGCTGCGGCACCGAGTATATGGATGGACACCCTGGGTATGCGCCGATGCCTTCCCTTGACCTGAACTTCAGCGCTCCGATTATCGGCGCATCTTCCAAGCAGGAGCTAGAGATGCCGTTATATGGTGGGTTGGCGCCAAATGCGTTGGACATTTCCTTCTCACCGTCTTCCACGGCGCCAGTGTCAGGGTTCGAGCACATGTAAGGTCGAGCCGCATCAGGCACTCACGTTTATCTTCCCATCTCTTGTTTGGACATTGCACCACTCTCCTACTCTCTCTAGTGTCTGTTGCGAGGATGGCATCAACCGGTTGACTGTATCACTATTCGGGCGCAAAGCCTGTGTTGTAGCATTAGTAGACAGCGTCCTACGCGGCGTTAAAATAGCGCGTCCTCGTGTTTAGCTTCTTATTACTGTTAGCATAAATGCTCACCTCATGGTTATTTCCGCATTGTCACATTATTTTGTAGATACGAGGTCTGGAATACATTCTATTGGTCAGATATCCCGGATGCGGTATGCATGGCGTCGGGCTCACATGGACCAGACCCATCTCCGCCATTCATTCACGGAGGAGCGCAGAGCCGGAGACAGGGCGATCACCTGCTATCTCGACACCGGCACATAAAAAATAAGCTCGTTGTTTATGTCAGCATTCCATTTCGAAATTGTCGACACGTACCCTCTGGTCGCGTGTTTCAGCGCCGTATGGAATCCGTAGCGCCTCCATCGACACAAGGACCCGTGGCGCTGGGGCGCGGCGCAACGAATTTGATAGATGTGTCTTGGACCTTGTGCTTGTGCGCCCCAATCTTGAGCGGAACAATCATGCATTTCGTACGAAATGACATTCAAAGAATACTCGCGTCCTCCACGACAACTCTCATAACGGAGCATGGGTCTGAGAGCAGTGACCTCGTTTCACGACGAGGGCCATCGCGAGCAGGAGACGAGAGAACAAGCGATATCGCCAGTACACGCGCACGGCTCCCGAGACGCAGTGAAGACTTCAAGAATAGGATAGCCAAACAACACTTCCCGAAACAACAGTATCAGTATAGAACCAGGGGCCGAATTCTCACCACCGGCGGAGACGACCGAGGCGTGCCGACGAGCTGCCGAGGATGAGCTGGCAGATGACAAGGCGCACGAGAAATCAAGAAAGTTGGACTGGGTTTTGCTGGGCAGTGAGAGAAGGAAGCATTGATCCTGAAGATTTCAGACGTTGTGCGCCTAGAAGTTGCGCAGTATACAGGGACTTGGGCGGCATTGCTAGGGAAACAGAGGAGGGGCAACATGGAGTCACTATGGTTTGGCGACTGCACATCCGTCGGGTGTTCCTGGTGACGCGAGTGAGAAGTCAGAGATGGATTCTACATCGAACCTCACCACGAGATACGATAGATAGACCCCCATGACATCATTTGAACTTCGCTCGAGCTACTGCCAAGGTCAGTCAGTCGACATGTCGCACGTAGAATACCAGTTGTGTCCGAGAAGCAGATACAAGTGTGATGACTAGGTCAAGTAGTGTGGCGTCACGCAGCCGAGCAAAAAAAATGAATCATAGGCGCTATGCAGGCGTGAGCGGGAAGAAGAAGTAGTTCCCTCGATAACCTCAAGGATACGCGAAACTAGCATGGCAACAACGAATTTGGGAGAGACGGAGTGGGCATACATTTTGAGGGTATTTTGCCAGAGTATATAGAGAACCAGATGGCTGTTAGCTGTCGATGATCACATCGAGCGCGTTGGCGGAATAATTAAGATGTGTGCGAGAGGAGAGCGAGGTGGTTTCTGGGCGGATCATATCACGAGCCAGGATGGGGCATCACAAGAGGGGATATCTAACCTTCTTGACTTGGAAATTTTGCAATGTTGGACAGTGCTAGCGAGGTTACCTGTGAACATCAAAATGTTGTCATCCAATTCGCTTCTAGTAAGAACGGAGGTGAGCAAACTGCCAGGTGGCGGAACATCGGCCGTTCTGCTAGTCCAGTGGGATCGGAAATTTTAGATGGGAATTTTACTGCAGGTAAAACGATACTTACTATCACCAAATGAATATGAACCCACATCATCCTGCTATAAGTGAGGGAAGGGTCTCGAATGTAGCATCGTGGACGGTTCATTGATGGGGGTTGAGGAAGAGAGAAGGCCAGTGGTGGTCGCCAGAAGAGGGATATCACCCAAGCGGCGTCTTTTGGACCACACTCGCAACGAGGCAAGGAACGAGGTGCGGCTCCAAAAACTCAGGGTTTCCACATATTGCCCTCAGGAGTAATACAACAGATGAGTAATCCTCGAAACCGGACCGTTATGGCAGGTGCGAACTCGTACAGCTGTCAAAACCAAGACCGCTGTATGACACCGTAAAGCCCACACTGCAAGCACCATTGACGCATCCGCAACTGAGAGAAATACAGCACTGCAAAAGCCGATAAGTACATGAGATCTACGAGCCCATAGGATATGTGACCATACCAAAGGAGATGGCGAAGACTTGATCATGTCGACTCTGGGTCCCATAGGCATGGGAAGCTAGGATATGTCATCTGCCTCGTGAATGTCCCAACATGAGCATCTATGACACAGAGACGTGGACAGAAAATAGCTTACGAGAGCTGAACGAAAACGGTAATAATGTGGTATGCACGGACAAATCGAGCTATTTGGATCAAGAGGTCCCTGTAGGATCGTCTTGCTGCCAAATTGGGACTGATCGAGTGTAAAGCGAGTGTAGGCTTGAAAGACACTATTAGAAAGTCCTGGGTAAGACGAGGATGCCTGTTGGGATCTCAAACTGGCTTTATATCGTCGTATCAAACGAACCACCGTGGACGTCACTGTGAGACAGACACACCACTGCGCCCTCTCGCGCCCGTGGTGATGATCAGACCACACCAATACAGCATGCTCGGGTTACCGTTGAATGAGACCAAATCAACTCGGAAAGCAGCACTGGTCCCTGCCGAGGCTGAATTTGCATAGCTGAGTTTGGGGAGCTGAGGAAGATCCGAACAGGGAGCAGACGATGTGGAGATGAACCGAGGACAACGGAGCGGCGATTTTCATAACGCCCAAGGACGTTATACTGCCACGACTTGTGATGAATAAGAAGAAATCAAAAGTGGCTGAAGGACACTGACCATCTTTGCTATCTGGTCAATCCACACACATTTGGCAGCGCGCTGACTGGATGAGCAGCACAACGGGCCAACCTCAAAACATCTCAATGTGAATGCGAGCGGCAGGTTCCGAATGAACCGAAGATGTACCATAGCATATAAGTAACCCCAAAACGAGAGTTGGGCGACACAAGTGGGAGCATTCGCGACGAGCTACCAGAAATAAGCACAAGACACCTGGACCAGCTAAAAAGTTAATATAATACGTTTCTGCAACAATGTAAGCAGAGCTCATGACTACTCACCATCAAACGCAAAGCATACGAATATATGCGAGAATATACAGCTGGCGTTGGGATATTGAGACGGCGCCTAGCGGTAAGTATCACACGCGTTGCCAGGCGCATAGCAACTGCGAAGCAGCGCGACAGGACGACCTGGAAAGAGCGGATGGCATGGGCAAGCGTGTTCAATGTACAGCAGTTTTAAATATTCAGAGCCGGCCTTACGCTCAGCCATTGAGCAGACCGCCGCAACAGTTTTCAGCCCGAGCGAGAGGGTCATTGTTAGAATGAAGACGTGTTCTAAGACCCCTCCTTTATACCATTCGGCATTTTGTCACTCCGTGTCCAGTGACAAACATAGCCTCCATTTCAGAATGGAGACCACAGACGCTAGCACCAAGATTTAGCAGCGAGTCACTGAATAAAATATAATGAGCACCTACAACCTTTTGAATACATGCCAGAGAAAATGTGGATCATGACGAATTGTATGTAGCGAGTATACGCTTGCGGTTTGCTTGAGGCACAATTGCAACGAGTGGCACCCGAGGGCCGAGTGGCACACGAGTGGCGAGGGAAGGACGAAACGCTCCGAAACGCTAGTCGTTCCTAATTCGGAGTTGGAACCCTATGCACGTGATGTAATTGCCATTTCCGGGCCGACGCACGCGACGGTGACCCAGACACTAGCAGGACAATATTCCGACGACCGCTGTTTTTGGGTAACCTCGAGCAAGGCGGAAATGTCAACTCGGACTGTGGTAGCGCGAGCGGATGGAAGAAAACTAGATGAGTTGAGGCAGCTCACCATTCTCTATGAAGGCCTCGATAGGGTGGACGGCTCCGCCAGATTTGGTTTTGGTGCGTTCACTTGCCACTCTTTGTCGGGGCGCAGTAACACCCGTTGAAGGCGAGACCAAATCCCTTACGTCTATCTCTGGTCCCATCGAGGTTCGTCCCAACCTCGAACAACCCTCGCACGCTACGCTCGACGTGCACATTCGCCCCCTTGCCTCCATCTCCGGCACCGACTCGAAGGCGCTCGCGGCGACACTTAAAGCCCTTTTGACACCCTCTCTCCTATTGTCCCACCACCCGCGGACGTTGGTACAGATTGTCGGACAAGCACTATGCGGTAGCAATAGTGGCAGTGGGATGGGTTCTGCAGGCAAGGGCTGGAACACAACTCTTATTGCTAGTCTCGTGAACGCAACTACCGCGGCACTGCTCAATACTGCTGCGGTGCCCATGCGGGGTGTGGTTTGCGCAGTCTCAGTTGGTCGCCTTCGCTCGCAGTCAGCGTCTCCAACTCTGATTCTCGATCCTTCTGAGTCGGAACTGCCTTATCTCTCTGGCAGCGGGTGCTTTGCGTTTTTGTTCTCGTCCGTCGTGACCGCCTTGCCAGACTCGGAAGCAAGCTCAGATGTCCCACCGTGCTCACTCCTATGGACTAATTACAGCGCAAACACATCCTTCACCGAGTCCGAGCTGGTGGATGCCCGAAAGCTAGCCGAGAGAGGCGCTGTGGAGGTTTGGAAAGCTCTGAAAGAAAGCCTCGGATCGATGGGGAAGTCCGCAGTCACGTTGGTGGGGTGGAAGAGAGACAAAAATACGACTGTGAAGGAAGTTGCGGAGGAGCCGAGTGAAAGTGCAAGTGAAAGCGAAGTAGACGATGAGAAAATGGAAATATGATCATTCATCTTGGATCCATGTGAGTTAATTTCGCAACGCGTTCCGGGCCATACTATTAATGTCAACAATTCGTCTTCCACTTCCTAGTACCTGATGTCGCAGCAGCCAAGTGTCTGTGATGGGCCGTCCAACGGTGTTCCTGGCTTCCCGGATTGCGCCGAAAGCTTTGAGTGCTTCACCGTCGGCTTCCCACCCCGCAGTCAGTATCGCGGGAGACCAGAAACTTGCCTGCGTATATACGCTTCGGCCCACCCTTGAAAGTACGACATACGCTGGGGGGTATGGTATCACATTTCATGCGCATCGATGGCAACATCCTTTGTATCACTACTCGACTTGTAACCATTCAATGCTTTAGTAGGGGGATACAATTTAGAAAGCCGACATAGGGGGGCATAATTTACTGGTTGATGACCTCGATACCAACGTTGAAGAACCAACTTATATTTCTAATCATCGTCTAGCGTATTTATCATTCTTGCAGATTCGTCTTCATAACGGGATGGATTTAGCTCCTACGTTCCATATTACTAACAGCGCAAATGAGAGTGCATTGCCCTCTCATTTCCACAAACTGTCGTAGGGCGGAACACGACCACGAGTAGTGCTTCAACCAGACTGCGCTCATGTAAGTAAAGAGGTAAATTCAATTGAAGTTTCACAATGATCTAGTAGTCTCCATATCATTCTTGAAATCCAATAAGCTAAAGCTGATGCCGTACGCTGCCCCACAACTTCGCGGTGAGCAGACCTGCTTGGCAGTAATCGAAGAAGATAATGCGGAGTGTTTTAAAACCACGCTGTTACGCTCCAACACCGCGCAGTACGAGGGACGTCGAGGGTGGTGGCCGTCCCCTGAACACGCCCCACTGTGTCTCGTGCGGCGATAGCGGCAATATCTGTACCAGAAAAAACCTCTGCGCAGCTGTTCGGCTTGTAGGGGATCAGCTGGGGGACCATGCGGATGCCGTGCCTCGTCTCGTCGGTGTCGTGTGAGACACTAGATGCTGGGAGGGCGTACCACGCTCGATGCACGCTGCATGTTGCCTACCGCCGCGATAGACGTCATGAACGCTTGTAAGGGGGCCGCAAGCGACTTGGAGTGCGATCCGCTAGCGACGGGAAGCGTCTGAGGACCTTGTGACCATGCGCCAGACCACAGGCAGGCATCGGCCGACTTGCACGACTCTCCTCCGAACAGTCCACGATGCTGTCACCTGGCGTTGGATTGGGCAGAGGGACCGCAGAACAATCTCACTAGAGAACCGTCCTCATCATTCGAACGAAGAAGGGGTAGGAGGCGACGTTTGCAAACGTTCCGGGGGTAGCACAGGCGTCCACAGAGGGTCAGTTGACCGGGCCCGCGGAGAGGATATGGGAACGCAAGAAGCTTTGTCTACTTGAATGAATGGTTTATGATCGAGGCGATACGCTGCAGTGACAAGTCGCGGGAAGATGATTCGTGGAAATTAGTGAGTGCAATCAGCTAGCCCAGACGAGCCCCCTGAAAGACATAGAAGAGCATCGAATTGTGCTGTATCGGCGTTCAGCGAGTGGGGAACCCACACGAGATTCATTTCCTGCAGGCGCGCGAGAACGAGTCGGAGTATCCACTGAAGTCATAGGCAGTGTTCAGGAAGGTGGAGAACAGCGTTGAGCTTGGACGACCGAGCCCAGTGAGATGAAAGCATAGCAGGTCGGCGGTGTCACAGGCGGGAAGGACGTGGATTAAGATGAAGGTGAGTGAAGGAAGGAGGCGTCGCAAATGAGCTGTACGCGTCGGATCCCGGTGCGACTAGATTTACCTCCGTGGATCACGTGACTGGAATAGACTGGCTGGCTCGGAAAGGAAATGACAAACGGATGTTTTTGGGAAATGTTTCCTAAAGCGCTATGTGGCTGCCTCGAGGCAACCATCATATCCGAGTCCCTCCTTGAGACCGTGGCACTGGCGCACTGGTACAAATACCCCAGCTTGTCCCCAGTCTACGCTTATATCAATATCCCTGATTCCTCCACTGCTACTCGAGCCGAGAGCCTGTGGTGCCACTAGTGCTGATCACCCGCATACTATCTCGTCCATCCCCACGCTAGGGCCCTTGTATAAATACTCGGACACTCATCCGCCCCCCCTCCCCCTCTCATCTCTCCGCCAGCCATGACTGAATACGACTTCTCCGAAGAGGCTCTCGAGCGGTATCTTGCGACACAGAGCAGAGTATCTAACTGGGTCTCCGACCAGGTGTCTCGCGTACCGCACCACTCTAAACCGTTTGGCGCCGCCAGCCACGCCGGGTCAGGGTCACGCTCGGATCCCGCTCGTGCCCATGGGCACGTCGTCCATCCCCGTCCTGTGCGAGCTGCGCCACAGCAACTACATCCCCTAGTGATCCCGGAACCCCGCCCTCCCCAACGAAGCTCTCCTCTTAAAAGCTCGCCGCCAAGATCTTCGGAATGGCGAGCGCAGACAGTCTCTCCTCAGCCATTCCCCGTCTCCGATCCCTATCCTCATCCTCCTCACCATCACCACCACCACCACTACCAAGAACGGCCACGTCCACAGGCGTCTCGCTCGCAAACACTTCCCCCGACGCACAACTCGACACTTCCGCCGTTGCCCGGAGGAGCAACGGTGTACCCCACCCGAGCGCCGATGCCGGCGCCTCCCCCAGGCCATAACGCCGTCTATCGTACGTACCAGTACGATCCTGCCCGTCGAGAGATTGTAGTTCCCCCACCCCGCCCTGGGGAAACGTACGTAATCATACCCCCTACGCGGGGCCCCGTGGAGGTCGTTGTACGTCCCTGTTCGCTACTTTAATTTCTTACCTTGCTGATTGATTATCTGTCTTCCGGAAGCACGGTGATGGCTCGCGCTCACATTCGCGCTCGACCTCGCGCAGCAGCGCCCGCAGTCCGAGCAAGAAGGGTACCCCGCTATTCAAGCGCATACTGGGTTCCATAAGCCCATCTGGCAATGGCCTCTCGTCCACGAGAGGCGGGCCACCACGAAGTGCCCCACCCCCGAGACGGCTAAGACGTCATTCGACGAGCGCATACTGATTTGCCTCTCTTCGATTCGTCTCATGCCGAGGGCTGGTGCTAGTCAGGTCCTTGACATCTCGAGGGATATTTCCACCAGTTTTTCTGTTGTTTCGCAGCTTTTTTTCTGTTCTTTTATGGTTCTTTTCCGCATGCCTGTGCCGCCTATTGAGCATGACACACTCATTTTGACATTAGTTCTGATTCCGATTACGCTCACATGTTAGATAAATCGCACACTCCCTTTTCTGTTTTCTTTTGTCCTCATGATTAACGATGCTCGGATGGAATACTACCCTAGAGAAAGTATATAGACTTCACGATAATAGACAAGAAATTTACGTCTTACTTTGCCGAGAAGTAACCTTGAGGCATCGATGCGACTCACATCTACATAAATTACCAACACATGATTTGAGTCCATCGCCGGTGTGCAACTTCCAGATGTACGATCGATGGTATAGACTCAGTCTTTGAAGTCGTTTTGGCATATGGCTAAGCTAAAAAAAAAGCTGAACACTCCGTGCATCTAAAAGACTAGAACCACTTTTATCATGTTACGATCGTACTTGCACTGTCACCTAACGAGGAACGCCCGACATTCCGTACTCCTCACCGTAACATGATTCATGTTTCAACCGCGGGGGATGCGAGATTGACCTTGCATTCTCCAGCCGACGGGGCTATTCGACACGCGACCGCATCGTGCCGCAGATCATCCAGGACAATCCAGCGTGGCGGTTCATTACAGTAAGTGAAGAACCCGTCCATTCCAAGTTCGATACACAAAAGCAATCCGCTCGTGCATTTTAACAAACGCGTGTATACCATCGATTCCATTCAGATCGTCCAGGCCGGAAATGAGTCCCGCGCGTCAAGCCTTCTTTTCCAATTTCTTCGTTAGCTCACCAATGGCCTGCGCGGTGAACATGTCCACTACGTTCTCTCCCATTGCCTCCATGGACCACTGCATCACTGCATGCGGCATGTACGGTGCATATTTTCGCCAGCCACATCCCATACGCGCCACGATGGCCTTCGCAAAGCGCTCCGAGCTCGGGGTACCAATCGACGTGCTGATCTGCATGGAATTCGACTGCACCTGGCCGACGAGGAGATATTCAAACCGCACGCCAGAAGGTGTTTCCCATACAAGTTCGTCGGTGTCGAGACTACGGGCGAGGGCTTTGAGGAACGATTTGGAGCCTGCGTAGAGCCCAAGACGCGGAGGGGAGATATCTCCCGCTTGTGAGCCAATGAACTGAACCAGCACTGGACCACTCTTGGCTGCCGCGCGCAATTTGGGTAGTAAGACGCGAGTGAGGAGCATAGGGAATAGAGCATTTCGCCGGACGATGTCGAGTAAATATTCCTCGCTTAGGCCATCCGTTCTGCGCGGAAAGGGGTTGAGGAAACGCACGAGGAAAAATTCAGTACAGTCACTCACTTCTCCCATCTCAACTCAGAGCTCCCGACGTTATGCACGACCAGCGTGATGTGAAGGTCCTTGAACGGCTCCATCATCTTTGCGAAGTCGTGTCCTTCGGCAGACGCATCCGCGATGAAGTAGTGAACGTTGCGCGATCCCTGCCTGCGAATTTGGTCGCAGACCTTGCGCATCTTCTCCTCGTTTCGTCCATGTAAAATCAGGCTGAAGCCTCTGTCATACAACTCCTGCGCTAACGCCTTCCCTATCCCATCCGAAGCACCAGTGATCAGAGCGTACGAGGGCGACGTGTGAAGGTACTCGTGCACGGTGCAAGGCCGCAAGAAGTACAGCCAGATGAAGTTGATGAAACGATACAACTGAGGGGCGAGGAAAGCAACGGCAACTAAGGCCAGGTATTCAGTGAGGCTTGCCATGGGTAGGAGCAAACACGATGAGGCCGAAAAGACAGCGGCATGTTTGTTGCCATTGGAGTACGTGAGACTACTCAAACGTCACCCGATCATCACCGGGTGTCACTAGCCGGGGTGGCGCCGCAGAGTGTGCGTGCATACTTAAATGCATCTGACGTTTTACCGAAGTGTTCATGTACGCTAGGCAGCTATCGTCGGTAGGTCATTGTTAAAACATATGCTATTCAAGTAACGCTCGAGACATCCGGAGAAAGTTTCAAGAATACCTAAATGATCTAAGCAACATTACACCACTTTATTGCTTCTCCGCGAGTGAGCAAATACGTTTCAGAGGCTAGTTGCTACCCGGTCATACGTGACTATAACCCGACGAGCCAGGTCTCGTTAGCGATCAAAGATAGAGTAGTATGTTCTTCATAACGTGGATAAATGTCAAGTATAAGTTGACTGAATGAAGCTCACACCTTGACGAATTGAGTCAGATGTTGAGCAATTTTCTGTAAGGAAAGCTTATCCGCCACGTCGTCAGCCACCAACCCATGGTCTATCGTATACTTGTAAGACGGGCGCTGAGTAGCTCCGCCGACCACATCCAGGTGTGTCAAGCCTGACGGGTACCCACATAGTATTGGAGTGTACCCGTCCTACGACAAGGTATTTGAATCGGACGGCAGTAGGTGTATCCCATACAAGGAAGGACTGAAAGGTAAGATGCAGGAAGATGTCACCTGTGCAAGGCCAGACGTATTGGATCCTGAACTAGCTGCAGAGCGTGGCTGAGGTAGGACGAAGACAGGAGGACGCGCATGAACAAAACAAGAGATACTGCAAAGTCCCCATCGAGCAGCCCACCATCGGTTCCAAGTTTATAGGTCCTGGTCAAGACCAGCATAATAAGGGAATTAGACATAGCTTACCTTTCCCATCTCAGCTCAATACCACCTACTCTGAGTACATGACGAATGACGATAGTCATTGAACAGCACCATCGTCCGTTCAAGTCAGAGTGGTCCACCGATGGATTCACAATGGAATATCACAACAGTGTCGCGGATGCTTCGTGCGCTACTCTTGCGGCAGAATGATAAAGCTGAGTCACCGCCCGTATCAACACTTTCCGATACCATTAGAGCCGCCAGCAATCAGAGCACAGAAGGGATTTCATACAGATACTGATGAGTTACAGAGGTCCAGATAAAGTCGAATGGAATAAAATCTGCAAAGTGGTACCCCTGGAGCATGTAGTGGACGGGTCCAACGAGGGCGAGATATTCTGTGAGGCCGACTACGATATGGAATTAACCGTTTATGTGTCCGAAAGAATAATTTGCGAGCATGCAAAGACCAGATTCGTCGACTGTGGCATTGATAGAGCAAAAGCCCCACAGTAGCACTAACATAGTGAGAGCTTAGAGACAAGAAAATAGGCTGTCAAAGAACTTGAGCGGAGCAGACGCCCAAAGTTGGCCTAAACTTGAGTAGACGCCGAGGTTCGATCACGTGTGCATCGCGTTCGAAACGAACGTCTGCATATTGGGATTCGCGAATTCCGGTGGTGACCAAGTGGCGACCTCAACGATCTTGACAACGTTCAAGGCAGTATCCTCCACATCTTGCAGCAATGGACGCATCAAAACCAGGAGAGGCCGGCGTCATTGCGTGGTGTAACAGTGTACGCTTCAACATGGCCAAGGATCCTGGTCGGCAGTTCCTCGACGAACAGATTCAAAATAGCCTGGACTTCCTGGACAGCTATCTGGAAAATGTCCTGCGAGGTCCCAAGACCGAGTGAGTGTTTTCCTACGCGTCGATTCGTATGTGGGGACTATAGTTACTTAGATCTGTCACGGAACTATTGAAGACACCTGGACGTAAGAAGAATGCGCCTGTGAGGACGAGGGCAGGGACAGTAGCAGCGGCAAAGGTGAAGGCGGTTATTTCAATGTCCTTAGATGTGCGTCGCGTCTCTTTTCCTCTTTTGAATCCAAATCTCAGCTACTCCAGGAAAGTGATGCTGAACAAGAAAACCGCGCGCCCGTTAACAGCTTCACTAAGGCGCTCCTACAGGCAAAAGAGGTTACAGATGACCTAGCTATCTCCGTTTCTCCTACCAGACCTTTGGAGTCCCAACGACCTGCTTCATCTCAACAGGGATTTGTACCCACAGAAGTATTTCAGCCGGCTGAGCCAGTCGTGCACATTTCGTCTCCGCCACCTCAAGAGCCGGGTCATGAGGACCCGAAGTTTGACACGCGGTCAGATCATGAACCTCAGGAGCTTTCCATGATCGCAGAAGACGACGAATTAGTGGAACGAAGCCGTTTGTCTATGCAACCCCAGCCAAGTGCTCCAGAGGTGCCCGAGGAGGCTGTTCAAGCACCCATTGAAAATGGGATGGACACGGAGGAGGAGGACTCGGCCCCTACTGATATCACGTCTACCTCAGCGAATACTTTCCATTCATTTCAGCTGGGCTCGCCCCAAAATACTGAGTCACGATCTTCCAAGGTACTCGCTTCGGAGGCACACGTTACGGAGCCACTTCCTCGCATCGAACGCCCACCACTAGAGAATGATTATGCCATGACTGCCCCACTGCCCATTGTGCCCACCCTTCCAAGCGAGTCACATGTAGATGAACTCAACGTGCCCATTCGTGACGGTCCTCCGGCCTCTCATTCTGCCCCGGATCTCGCACGGAAGCCGAGTCTCTCACAGCTGGGTCTCCCTGCACCTTCTCCTCTGCACAAATCGACCCGGGTAGTAAGAGAGCCATCCGTGGGGGCGGGGCCGACTGTAGGCCAACCCCCAGGAGGGAAACGAAGCTCGTGGCTGGTCAAGGCAAGGGAGGTCAAGGCTATGGAAGGCACAGGCAAGCGTGCCAGTACGGTCCTTGGGACAACCTTTGCACCAAGTATGCTTGGGACTAAACGAAAGAGTGGGGAGGTGTTTGGTTTGATGCCGAGAGCGTCGTCTGCAGCACTCGGGGCGGTTGCAAGGGCCTCAGAGGAAGAGGAAAGGCACCAGAAGGTTCCCAAATTAGCTGCGGCTGTGGATCTACCAGACAAGGAACAGGTACGACAGGCTAATGTCGACCGCGAGCCGGTCGATAAAGGCAAGGGCGTTGTGCGGACGGATCAAGAACCACATTTGCTTGCTCCTGCGGCTGTATCCGAACATCAGGAACATCAGACGCCACCTGCATTATATCCTACTCTATCAAAGGATAATATAGTTGTACCGTTGAAGACGGAGGATGAGGATGATGGTATGCTCGATCGTTTCAAGCGGACGGTCGAAGGATTTGGTGCTCGCGCTGGGAAAAGTATGGGGAAGTCTCTTGGAGGAAACGCTGCCGCGGCCCTGGCAGAAGCCAGAGCAGCTGCTGAGGCTAGAGTTGCGGAAAGGAACAAAGTGGAAGGCAGAGAGGAGTCAGAGGAACCGCCGCTCTCGTCAAGCCCCCCTGCCGATTCTACAGACAGTGTCGCGCCTGCTGGGGAAGCTCGACTATATCCGGAAGTCCCGCATGGCGATGTGCCCGGGTTCAAGACCGCGGAGAGGAGATTGAGTGTGTCCGACCTCGTCAGCTCGTCAGAAAAGAAGCAAAAATCCCGAGTGGTCCGGTCACCCCCTTCTTCAGCCATTACTGCTGGGCCTTCAAGACAGTCGATCGACGCCGCTAATATCAGTTCGTCTACCACACCTCCCAACTCGCCACCCGCAACGCACAAACCAAGCTTTGCCGCCCCTCCCCCCCCGGTTCAAGTCTTCAGCAAACCTCCACCCCCTCCAACTGTGTTTGTTGCCCCGTCTGCACCCGCTGCGCCCTCGACCTCGCAGCCTACTCGGACCACTGGTGCCCCTGGAGTAGGTAGGGACTTTTCGTTCAAGTTGCCTACAACAAATCCATTTTCGCTGCCAGCCGCAGTTTCGCTGGGTGTACCTGCTACCTTGGCTTCGCCGTCCAGTCAAAAAGGATGTGGCCCGCTCTCTGCACAGTCGAGCAAAGCCAGTCTTTTTTCGGATGTCATATTCGATAGGGAAGACGAAGTACCCGCTTGGATGGCAACAACTCAAGATACTGAATATTCTATCCCGCCTTCTCAGGCACAGCTTAAGAGCGGCGCGAATGTGGACGATCTCGACGATGACGACAGCTGGCATGTTGACGAGAAGTTCACGTCGAACCATATGTGGACGCCGTTTGGGTTTGCGTCTGCAGACAAGGACGACACGTGGAGCACACTCCCAAGCAGGAGTATCAGCCAGAAAGGCGGCGACACCGGTCCAATTACCACTAACCAAAACTTCACGAAGTCATTTGCGGACACGCGGGACTTTGATCTTGCGGAGATGGTACAGGATAAGGAAGATGTTGAGCCGTCTCGTTCGGTTGTACCGGGTGCGTTTAGATTTGGTGCGGATCCCGAACTGCAGGAAGAGGCGGATATTGCGGATGAAGCAATGGAGATCGACCCTGATCTTGACGAGGAAGAAGACGAGCTGGATGAATTGGTAGCAGCCGGCGCATCCACGGTCAGTCTCGTTCAGGTACGCTTGAAACTAAACGACCTGAAAAGGCCCCGATTGATTTATTCTATTTATCCTGTAGCCTAAAGGTGGAGCGGAGAGACCCAGAAGCCAAAGTCAACAGTCCATGGCATCAACAGCTTCTTCACAGTCCCAGCCGGTTGGATTCTTCGGTCAAGCATCTAAATTGGTCAGTAGCGTGCTGGGCAGCACTAAGAAAGTTAAAGGGGAGCCAGTCAAGAGCCTGCAATTGGCAGCTCAGGCAGCCAAAAAGGTGAGATCTGCAAGAAGCTGCTTCTCTGAGGATGTCTAGGATGCTTACATCCGTGGTTTCGTAGCAACAAGAAGAGATTGAGAAGAAGGCGACAAGACTCAAAGAGATGGAGAATCGCCGGCAACTTGCTCTGCAGCGAAAGGCAGAGGAAGACAAGGCACGTGCTATTGAAGAAGACAGGAAGATTAAAGAAGAGAACGACCGGCGAAAGAGAGAGCGAGAGGAACATACGGACAAGAGACCCCTTCGGGCGACGGGCAAGAAGGTATGTGAGCAATATTGTTTTCTGAGTCCGACGCTAGATGCGCAATCTATCAATTAGGGAGATGATGACACCACGAAGAAACGCAAGATTACCACCGAGGCTGAGAAAAAGGTGGAGTCAAAGAAACCACCCTCAAAGGATAAGAAGGACAACCCTCTCCCACCTCGTGTTCCGAAGGCTGGGCCAAGTGGCGCCTCAAACCCAACGATCAAGATTGGGCCCCCGCCCAAGTCTGCGCTTAAACAGCAGGTGACAGCCACGGACACTAAGTCCTCGAAGACTGTCAAGGCCGTCCCATCTTCCAGCAACCTCAAGACAGGTGGTAAGGGCAAAGGAAAGGCCGCTGCTACCGACGACGACGAGCCGCAGCCTACTCGCGCGGCACCACTGAGGACACAAGCCCCATCGCCCAAACAGCCGCCGGTGGCAAGCGAGACCATCGAACTGCCGGACATCAACAGCGAATACTCGGACTCTGAGGACGAGGACCGGCCGCGGACGTTCGACCCGCCAAACTGGGCACAATCGCCGGAGCTCAGACAGGCATTGCAGCAGCAGAGCACGATGAACCCAGACGACATTTTTGGGCGCATCGGGCCGTTGCGGATGGAGGAGATCTTCCGCACGCGCCAGAGTCGCTTCAGAGCACGCACGAGTTCGGCGAATTGGTCCGGCGCGGACCAATTGACAGCAGAGGAGGAGAGGGAGTATGCGCGCAGGATGGGCTTCAAGTGAAGCGCGAGACCTGTATGATAGATGAACTTTTCAGACTTGCTAGGGTATATGCTCGCATTTTTATGTCTTCTCGCAAGTATTCCAATTATGAATTTCCGGTGGCGCTCCTGAGTCGGCGGATATACAGTGAATGAAAACGTTCCAAAAATTAATAAGCTCAGTGAACAACCATTATACTCCTGCTTTGGCTTTCTTCATTTCCCTGTACAATTTTACTACTCTCTCCCGCTCCTCTTCCAGCATGGCTTTCTGCGCCATTGAAATAGCACCTTGCGCCAACGTTATTCCCGACGTCGCTGATAATCGTGGCTTTGCCCCGCGGGGCAGTTTCTTCAGTTCTGGAGGTGCTTGTACAATGTCATTGAGACGTTTGGGAGTGGATGTCGATAGATGCGCGAATTCGGTAAGTTTTGATTTTTGGGCAGCTTTGGTCTCCTTCAGGGCGGGGGATTTGGGCTTGTTGTCTGACTCTGACATCGTTATCTCTGACTTCTTGGATTGTGGTGTCGCGGCGATAGATTTCGCATTTGATTGTGAAGATTTTTCGGATACTCGTTCTTTTTTCGCTCTTCGAGCATGAGCGGATGATGATTTCATGGCTTCGCGCAATACTCCTCGCATAGAATCTTCTACCCGCCTGGGAAATGTATGAATCTTTCTGTATGGAGGACGACCCACAGCTCAACGTACCGATTGAAGTGGGTCATCGACTCCCCTGGCTGAATTTTCATGGTCTGCCCTCGCGCATCCTCCGCAGCGCTTTTTCTCTTTTTGCGAGGAATACTTCCGCTGTCAGCAGCACCTTCGTCCGGTGTGCGTTTCCGTTTCATTCTGTACTCCGCTTGGACTTTTGCGGCGTTCAAAATTCTGGCCGCGCCCTTGGGCATCTCTTCATGGTCGATCGCATGGAGGGCACCTGGAGGCAGATTAAGTCCTCTTTGTGAGAGATGCTTAGAATGCAGTAGACAATGAAGCCAGGGGGTACTTACGACTGCGAACGGTCTTTCTCCCTGACAGAGCGCTTTGCTCGTTTGTGCGGCATTGTAGTCAAAAGACGAGTTCGACCGAGGACTGACTCTTGCTTGCCAGTGACCGTGACTTTCGATCGCTTGCTCGTTATCTTATCTCCAGCGCTTAAATAACCGAAAGGGCTCGATAAATTGCCACCACGGCCCTCTCGTCGGGAGCTCACATACTTGAGCGTACTCTACGGTGACCGTCTTGCATCAAGAGATACATCGGACTGCGTGCCTTCACCGATGAGAAGTGAATTGTTCTCTTACACGATTCGGTAAGTGGCGTCCCAGTAGCTCAATTTTAAGATTTCATAGCCGAATTCAGAGCATCCAAACACCAAACTAGGATTCCCTCTTCATAACCATGCATCGACTCGGTGGCGTAGGCCTGGCCGCCTTTGACCGCCAGAAGCTACACGAACGCTCCTTCGCGGAACTCTCCACGGAGATTTCGCAGGCGCAGGTGGACCTCCTCCATGCCCAGATGGCCCAGTTCCGCAGCGCACTCGCGCACTACGCCACGACATCCCGCGACTCCATCCGGACCGACCCCCAGTTCCGGCACGCCTTCCAGCGGATGTGCTCCTCCATCGGCGTCGACCCCCTCGCCGGCCCCCGCAAGGGCGGCTGGTGGGCCGAGATCCTCAACCTCGGCGACTGGCAGTACGAGCTCGGCGTGCAGATCGTCGACGTGTGCGTCAGCACCCGTGAGCGCAACGGCGGGCTCATCGAGATGAGCGAGCTCGTCCGTCTCGTCAGCAAGCTCCGCGGGCTCGAGGGTGGCGTGATTACGGAGGACGACGTGTTGAGGAGCATCCGGACGCTGAAGCCCCTCGGTGCGGGCTATGAAGTAATCGAAGTGGGTGGAGGGAAGAAGATGGTCAGGAGCGTGCCGAAGGAGCTCGATGCAGACCAGGCGATCGTCCTTGACATAGCGCAGGAGGGAGGCGGCCGTGTCTCGGAAGAGCTCTTAGTCCAGAGGAGAGGGTGGACTCCCGAGCGTGCAAGAGCGGCGCTGGAGAACATGCTGCTCCGAGATGGTTTGTGCTGGCTCGATGAGCAAGATGAGGTTGATGGTGTCGCCTATTGGGTGCCGTCTGCGATGCACTGGGACGAATAATCCGGTGTGCATATGTCAGTGCTTCTTGAGCTCACTAAATTATTACGCCTAAGCAATAGATCTGTATTTACATGTAATATCCATGTCTGTATCACAATGTGCTCCTCTCACACGACTGCGATATATCGTGTGGCTGGGTCCGCAACTATGCTGCGCCATGCTCTATTTGTTCAAATGAGATACTCCTGCGTCGATTTAGTACCCAGAAGGATCGGCGAAGTAAGTAGGGCGGGGGCTATCATGATTCCCGCATCATCTCGCAGCGGCCTACTCCATAACTTACGTCCAGTGCACATTGTTCGCTAGAGCATGGAATTAATGGAAGTTCTGAATTAATTTCAGCCTATCCACGCACATCTACAGAGCCCATTGTCTGAACCTGCAACCGGATTTGTTTTTTTTGCTCACAGCTCCACCCTGCTCCTACCAATCCAGCGCTCGCGAGTTTCCCGGTAACGCAGTCGGTTTCACTGGTCTCCATCGCAAAGACCGTCAACACCTGATCTGAAGCCACACGTTGTTTGAGCGTGTCTTTGTGTCATAGCGTGGAGGCACACGGGGGTCTGCTGATCGAATCTGCGCTATGTACATTACGCAAGAAATACGCAATGCCGGTCTAATGTATGTAAAAACAACAGCCCAGGACGACCGGCACGGAGCGCGCGAATGACCATGCTTCCCCTCCCCATTGACCCCGGAAAATCGAAATCTGACGACCCCAACCCGACATACCCGACACGTACACACGCCTACGACGGAAGAAATGAGTGGATGAATGACAAGAGAAAAATCATAGAGCCGTATTTTGCGGTCACAGTTCCCGTTCCCTGGCACGGCGGCTTTCATGAGAGCATCAGCAACAGCCCCGCACAGAGAAAACGATGGGGGCGCACTGACCGCCTGGATAAGTCAGACCAAGCCGGCGCGCGCCAAAGATGTGCTTTCGTTTTAGTGGGGACGGGGGGCACCCATTCTTCCCTGCAAGTGAGCACCTCCGATCGTATGCCGTCGGTGCAAGCGCTTACCCGCGCCACCATGACCTCTGGAATCGGAGCTCGACATCGAGCCCGCGAGCTTCGGCATATGGAAAATGCGCTGGAAGAACGGCTTTTTGTACCCGGGGTGCGCGGACTGGGGCGAATGCGCGGACTTGGTGGTGGACGTGGCCGTGTACAGGGAAGCGGCGTTCGGGACCTGAGTGCGAGAGAAACATTGTGTGAGCGAAAACGTAGGGGAGACGTGAAATGAGATGGGTGGCTGGAAGCAGGTCGTTATAGTGGAGCAGAGTGTAGGGATGACATGACGGATTGAAAGAAGAGCACCTACGATAAGTTTGACCTTTTGGCCCGGTGTAGGCAGGACGTAGTACGTGCTGCCGGACGTGCGGCTGGCGCGGTCATCGTTTTCCTCTTCGCTTTCTTCGGGGCTGTACGCGGGATCTTGCGTTGGCATGGGATCGTGTGCTGGCGTTCGCGCGCGCGTGCTCCCTGGCCGACTTCGACCTCGGCTGCGGCTGCGGCTGCCCTCG